GCAGGAAAACCTCAAGCTCATGACTAGCAGAAGACAAAGCACTCTCATGCTCTACAGATCAAGTAGGGAAAAGTTAAACTTCCATTGAATTTAACTCATTCTTGAGGCCATGAAGACAGAGATTAAGGAAGCTACAAGAAAGTCATATTTTGTAACCAGATCAAATGAAGCAAATAAAAACATAAAGCAATTCAGAAAACAAAAAATACCCTAAAAATACTGAAAGAAAAGTGTGCATTTTAAAATCTTGTACTGGCTGTTCTACTCCAGAACACATTCTTCAGATGCAGGGGTAAAGAGACACTAAAGAACTGAAGTTCTTACTCAAAACCAGTGTATCTTCCTTTCAGTTTCATAGAGAGAAAGTGCTCCACTGGGATGACATTTAAAACTCTTAAATGCTTGGCATTGTGACATTTAAGAAAATACCATTTCCTCAAGACTTACTTCTTGGTATAAGACATCCTGCATCAGCCTAATCGATGGGTAAGGATGCTGGTATTTCTTTATTTTTAAGGTGTCACATCACAGAATATTTTACCATTGATTCAACTTTCTTGAAGGAACTGAAACACTGAGTTAGTGCCCTCCAAAACAGAGCCCTGTAACCAAATCCCTAAATGCTGCCATGAAAAAGCTGCACTTTGGTTTAGTTAGATCATTTTTTTAATTCCAGCTAGACTGGAGAGTTTCTACCTTCCTCTCTACCACTTCTTTATTACTACTGTCTCTAACATGACGAGCATCTGGTACAGTCCAAAACAAAGTCTATTTAACTATAGAAAGCAACTAAAGCACATGAAAAAAGATTTCATATTGATATGCATAATAGAACACATTTCAAATAGCCTCCTCTCTAGCCATCCAGTGGGGCAAAAAGATTTAAACTAAATAAAAAAACAGAAAAGCCATTGCACAGTATTATTGCACAGATGGTGCCTTGTGAGCCGTCCCACAGGCTACCTAAAAGAATGCAGATAATTAAATCAAAATGAGAGACTGAAACACAACGATGATGTGTCTGGCCAAGGCACTATCGCCTACTCAAAGAGGAACCCTAGAACACAAGTCTATTGAGCTGCACAAGCAAACGGAAAACTGTTTACAGTCAACACAAAAGTTTCTCACTAGAAAAGGAAAAATACTGGGATGAAGACAGTACTTTCCTTGAAAAGGAGAATAGCTATGAAAAACTGATCTGTTTTCACAGCCTGCCCTGCAGAGTTGCAGTGAAAGCATGGGAATCGAACACCAAGGTACCCAGTGGTAGAGATGACATGGCATCATACAAATCCAGGCATAGCTCAGCTGCCTTCAACAATCTTAGACAAGGTGAAAAACATCCAAGAATTTATTCAAATTCCATAACTTGGGACAAAAAGGACCCATATCAGAAACACACAGTTCTGAAATACATTGCGATTTATGGTGCTGTCATAATTTTCGTACTTCAGCTATTTGAAACCAAGCCCAGGCTACTGCAAAACTTCGGAGGTGGGTGGCCAGGCTGGGCATCCTGGGTGGGTGGCAGCAGACTCTGCGCAGCGTGGGTGCCCCATGGCAGGCAGACAGGGTGCCCTGGCCAGCGCCCCGGGGAAGCGGCACAGGTGGAGGAACCATCTCACCAGAGCGGTCACTCAGAGCCAACACCACCTCGTCAGCACCTGACATGCAATGCAGTGAGGACACAACCATGCTTAATGTCCAACAGTACAGCTCCATGCTAAAGGGCATATAGGTTTGTGGAAACAGGAATACACAGATCGTGGTTTTATGTTTTCTTTTGGGTGGGATTTTTTTTTATTTTTTCTTTTTTAACCTTCACATGCAGATACCTCTACACAGCAATAAAGGCACACTCTGGTCATGTAATTAATGTCTGTCTTGATTAAAAGCAGAACACTGTGCTCAGCTGAATAAGATTCATGCAATCATATCTAATTCAAGAGTATTCAGACAGCTGTTAGATATTAAAGAAAATGTTCACTAATTGGTGAATGAATTATTAATCCCCATCATACTGGAATTTACACAGATGGACACACTCACTCACAGTACTTCTCCTTTCTCTATCCATTCATTTAACTTGGGAACAGCAAGGCTGTCCAAATTTCCATGGGTGAAACATACAATAAGAATAATATATAGCAAACAGTCCAAAATTAAATCATTATTTGAAAAATACTTGTTCACACTACTCCTCCAGTGCTTAAGCATATACTCAACGCAAGTCAAGATCAGTATGTTAAACCTTTCAAACATAACCAGATCTAACAGTACTATAAAAATAAATTCATTATTATTCAGTATTTAGAAAAAAAAAAAATCTCAAGTTATTGCTTTCCTTGTCTAGTAATGTTGAACTGCCACCCTCATCAACTAGGAAATAATTTTATTTTAAAAACGAACAATTCACCTTTTTCTAAAATTATGCCAAAAGCAATCAGAAGACTGTGTAGTGAATGCAGGTCTTCAGACCTGCACCCAGCAATTTGGAAAATTTCAGAATCTTAGGAAAAAACAACTTCACTAATGATTTGATACTGAAATCTTCCAAGAAATCCTTCAGATTGAAGCAAACACACTATTTGACGAAAAGTGTATAGTGCAAATAAATAAACCTGGAGAAACAATGCCATTATTGTTCTGGCATGGCTTGTCCAAAGTGTCTTCCTCAATAGTTACTACACTACTTAAACACCAGCCACACTATAAAACACAGAAAATGCTTCCACTATTTATATAGTAGTGTTGTCTAAAGCCATTTTTATACCTCTTCTTCTGTAGCGGTCAGTCATTTACAGCCTTGACCCAGATTTAACTCTGACCTTACTCTGAGCTGGAAGCATCTTACAACTGAAGCATTCAGAGCAAAAGGTTATAAATATCTTTGAAATGTTACAAAGCAAGAAAAAAAAAAATCTGAAAAACATTTGTGGCTGCCTTCATAGGATAAAGTAGCAGAAAAGGGCAGAAAACAGTTTTAGCTTTTATAGTTCATCTTTAAAATATGGCTGTTAAACATAATATATTCAGAGATGCACAATCATGTTTATTTTACACAAATGTACAAGTAGTCCAGATTCCCTGGATACATACACAGAAAGGGAGTTTAACAATAGCTTTTAGCCGTATATAAATATCCATGGGGGGCGGGGGGTGTGTGTGTGTTTGTTTTTTTGGTGGTGGTGTGAGTTTCTTTTAAAATCAACAGTACTGGAGTTACGAACTACCAGCACAGTATTTCTGAGAATTAAAGACTACATGGAGTTTTCTACATATTTTAGAATGCAAGAAGGCCCCCAAAATATCCTCTTTCTTTGCCACACCTTGTACTAGCAGCTGGAACTGCCCTTGACGTTGCAGAAAAAGTACTACCTTTGGTAACCCTAATACAGTGCCAAAGTTCAAGAATAATATGGAAACGTTGAGTGACATGAAATTAAAACCAGTTTTTTTTATGGCATTTGGCTTCTAATAGATTTTTCTCTTACAACTCCCTATCAAAACCAAACACAATACAGTACTGAAACATAGTGTTGTAAAAGGAAGATTGTCTGACCAGAGTATCAGTTCAATACCACACCCTAGCAGTGAGCTTCTAAACTCTTTTGCTGAGTGAAGTCTTTCCTATGCTCTGCATTTTTCACATCTCTGCAAACATCCCCTTTCTCCCCATATTTGTCTTAATGTGTTTTTATACTGCAAAATTATCCCTATACATTACAAAAAGGAGCAGAGACCAGAAGTTAAAATTATAGTTGTAACCAGAAACCACAGATTACACCTTTTAAACTGTATAATAGAAAAAGAGGTTTTTTTACTACACTAGAGGAACACTGATGATGTGGAAGAATTTCAGAGAGTTTAGTTTCCAGCAATTTAAAATACTAAGCATAAAGTCACTTCAACACACTTCATTGTCCCATAACTGGAAGTTTAGAAGAACGATTTTGGTTTGCTTTTTAGGCAGTCTTATCCCAGAGTTCACAATAAATCTAGCCACGCTGACTGTACTGAAGGGAAAAACCAATAGCCTACTCTGATGTTGTTTCTGAAGACTGAGTCCTATTGTCCAAAGAGAACAGCACTGTGTAACTGTCTTCTGTCGTTAATGTCAGAGATTTCACTCAGGTGTGTTATTTATGCACTTTATAGCTATGCTTTCAAAAAAAAGAGAAACACAAGCAACAACCCCCTAAAAAAGAACAAACTCACATAATTCTCCCATCATTTTGCTTCCAAGTCTTTCTATCACAATTGTACATCTATGTGAAAATGAAAACCAAACATCTTATTTACTGCCATATCATTGCATAGTTTTAGTCTTACCTAAGCCTGTGTGGGTAAGTTGTTCAAACAGAGTCCAGCTGTGGTCATCAATATAGTGGTTCTTCAATATCAACAGCTGACATACATCCCTGGCTGTTGTATCACTTGGTACTTCCAAAGCTCTGCTAGTATCATCTTCGCTATACACTTTAATTACCTGCAATAAAAAAAAAAAGCTAACATATCCATAAATTTAATCTTTTATTAAGTTAGGCCAAATATGTTCCTCTCTCAGCTTCATGATTGAGACAAGAACCTTTACACACAGGATGCAACACTAAAGACAGCCATTTCTCTAGTGCAATGCCATAACTGAAAACAAAACAGCTGAGCAAAGCATATCCTACTTCTAAATTTGGCTCCTGGACATCCCTTGCCACAGGACACTGGACAGATTGGTGCATTCACTTTAAAAAAAAAATTGTAACGGATAGGTAAATAAACCCAGTGAAACTGTAATGCAAAGAAGAAACCACAGAGGATAAACAGTAAAACTGAAGAACTCCATGACTGCAGAACTGTAGAAAGACTTGATAGAGTTAGTCCAGAGAATAGCAACCATATTCGAGATGCTCACAATTCCATAGACACTAAAATATAAGATGCTACAGAGCTACTTCAAATTTTGACAAGCAAGAACTGGAACTATGAGTAAAAAAAAAAAACAAACCACATATAAATACAGAATCAAAAAATGTCATACATGGAAAAGAATCATCATCACATGAGGAACAAGAAAGTAAACATGCTTTAGAAGACGTACATGCAAAAAACCTCACAAAGTAGACAATTTTTATCATATTTTATCTCAGTACTTTTCCAAGTTTCTTTATTTCATTAAATATGTTGAGGGGTGAAGGAGGAAGGCAATATAAACTCTCATGACTTACAGTTGTCAGTTTTACTTTTAAATTTCAGTAAAAATTCGTATTTTTCAATATTGGTTCACATTTTAGTGTCCTGAAGAATGGGTGTCTGTTAAGTTCTTGAAGAGGTGAAGCTTGAACTAAACCTGCTTATGCTTAGTTTCAAATGAAGAGGCTGAGGAAGTCTTACTGCATATTGACTGTTTGAAATAAGGCATGACCATTTAGATCTGGTTTTCTGTATTTTCTCTCTCTGAAGGAGAACGAATCAGTGAATCAGATGAATCAGCAGCTTGGATGGAATTGATGCAAATCATTAGTGCCCTGTCTTTGTAAGCTCAGTACAGTAACTAATCCCATTAAAAGTCAACACTGAAGATATAAAATAATTTCATATTCCTCACGGCAGCCAAGAAACTCAATACTCTGTTAGACTTCCTCTATTTCTCTTTTTTTTTAAAGTAGACAAAACACAAAAAGTGCAAAATATTGAGGCTGCTGACAGTAGGATCAACTCTTATCTATGGTATGCTGTAATAGTGCCATGGTCCCTAAAATAAAACAGATGTTTGAGATCTTATAATAAACACAAACAGGCAGGGAAACATGAGCAATAGGTATAGAAGATTTGATTCAACATTAAACATGCCATAAAAGTCTCCCAGGTACTCAGAAACACACTAAGTGATCAAGTCTGGAATCCATCCTTTTCACTCTTTGCATTTTCAAACAAATATTTTCACCCAAAGGCGACTCAACATCATGAGACTGGAAGCGAATACACGAATTCATCTTTAAGAATGGGATTTGTTCCCCAATATTTACATTTTCCAGTAGTGCAAAGTAACACTGTAACATTATTCCCTCTCTACCAAAACAGGAGGAGTGTGACTGTCCATCCCCAGCGCAGTGCCTGCTGTGCACTGTGCCTAAGGGAACACTAAGCAGCTCACTCACCAGTGACTGCCTGGTCACAACAGCAAGGAACTCAGCACAGGTTTAGCCACCCTGCCCACCCTGTCTATGGCAAAGCACAGACATCCCCAAGACGTTTTTTATTTATCTCAAAAATCCTGCTCTCATTTTATTCAACTTATCCATATTCATTAGAACACACGACACACCTCATCTGAACTTTATGCACAAAACCTGAGTACCATTGTAAACCCTTCATTAAATGTCAAGACACAAGTTCTTACTTTGAAGACAAACAAGCATGTTATTGTCAGTCAATCCTTAATTGCTACCTTACTAAACACTTGCTTATTTCAAGCACCTAATGAACAATCAGCATTGTATTGCTGCCCGAACTTGTTACCGCAGCTCCTTCTCTGGTTTGTGCCAAAGTTGGTAGGAAAGTAAGCAAGGAGCTGCAACGCTATTGCCTGCCACCTGCTTCTCTCCCAATAACGGCAACAATAAAAAAATTTAAAAAAAAAATCAGGTCAGTTCACCCATGCTTTTCAAACATCAGAACAAGGAAAAAGGATTCCATTTGAAAACCATATAGAGACTAAAGCACACTCCTCTCCAAAATCTGCCTTTCTCTATGGAGCTACATATACAGCAATTCTATTACAAACTTTGGTCCTACATATTAAATCAGCATAAAGCCCATGATGATTTGCTTTAATATTTCAGCTAATACATTATGACAGCTCAAGAGTTCCACACGAGGATCAGCCACCCCTGCCATGATACCAATCTCCAGGATCCAGCAAACATTAAAATCACGCTTCCAAAGTGGTGCAAATCCTCTCTACTCACGACTCAACCACCTCAAAGCAGAGTCTTCCACGGAAAACAGGCAGACCATGGAGAAAGTCAGTCCAAAGTTTCCACAGGCCTAAGCTACAGTCTGGTACTTACATTTAACACAAAAGGCAAAAAGACCACATTAATACTGAATTCCATGATCAATACTGCCAAAGCAGCCGTGGTTGATGGCTATGGCTGGTTTTGTAAGATACCTGTGCTTTGGCAGCATTCCCACTGCTAAGCAAGCGAGATGGGTAACAAAGCAGCCTGCTTACAGCAGGGTCTTGCTCCACACACACACCTTAAACTCCTACTCCAGTCACACAGAAATTATGCTCTGCAGTTCAGAAAATGAATTCTTTAAATTCCTGCAGTATTTACAAGGATTCAAAGATGAAATTAAAAGAGGTGTCTGGCAGGGTGCACTACGAATGGGATGGAGGGCTGTACAGGTGAGTAGACCAAACAGCATCCCATCATCTTAAAGCATGTCCTGCTCTGGGCAGCACGGGAGGTCAGGGACAGCCTCATCAGCCTCTCCAGGACGTCTGTGCCAGGCTGAATCAAAAAGGTTTTACAGGCTGAAAACCATACAGAAGGGGAAAGGAAGCGAGAGAACCAAACTGACTTCCCTAGTACTGGATGAGATGATTGTTGTAGGTCCCTTCCAACTGAAATATTCCATTTCTGAATATTCTCGCACTAAAGCCAGGGTGAGAATCCATGCCAGCACCCTGGCTAGGGACCCTGCCAGCACGTACCAGCAACTACAGTTTTCTCCAGGTACTCATTAATTTAGGTGGTGTGTTTGTTTTACAGCAAGAGCACGTACAGCCCATGCTGAGGCCGGACGATTTTTACAGAAATTCTTTTTAAAAGGATTAAGAGTCACAGTGCAGATGACTACACTCTTATTGCTGAAGAAATAGCAACAGACTTTTTAAAATGCTGAAGACAGCAGCACGAGTCATGATAATGAGCTGCCTGCGGCCATTCAACTTGAGGAGTGGGAAGCCTTGGACGTGGCCTTGGACTACAGGAGCACAGCTAAAACAAAACAAAAAAACCACAACAAAAAAACAATTGAAAAAAAAACCCCAGAGTTTGTATTCTCTGTGAGTATTCTCACTTGGCTTTCTCAGTATAGGGAAACAAATCCTGCACAAGTCTAGGACAATAGATCACTCCAGCTCACATCTACGACAAGCGGTACCTTACAAAACACAAATGCAGTGCCCTTTTCTTTTCCTTGCAAGGGATTCAAATACAGCAGGAGACAACAGACAGCCAGTCACCTAACAGACCCTTCTGAACTCCTGTTACAGTTTTAGTTTAATGAATTAAATGCGATGGTGTAAATCTCATCAGAATGACCTTTGAGGGGTTTCTTAATTAGAAAAAGATGCTCAGCCTGCGCTTTCTGCTGTGTTTGAAGCAAAGTCTCTTGTAGGATTTGCTGGGAATGTATTTGTTCCAAGGGGAGTGGATCACGTGAAAAAGGATCAATTCAAAATCCTCTTTTTCCTTGCAAATATGTTGCAATAAATACTTCTCTTCCCAGAAGATGAGGATGCTCCAAGAATTAAAGGGTGGCAGGATTATGCTAAAGATGCTGTTATGCTGACCTCCTAGAGAGATGAGGATGCTTGAGTGACCACTTCTTTATTTTTATTAGCAGTTATCACCAAGCATTAGGCTGGCCAATCATCCCCACTCTCTTCCATTTTTTTCCCCTGAAAATTTGTCTGAGAATTAGCACAGAAGAAAAGAGCTGCTAACTGAGAATAAGCTGTCATTACAGTTTTTGTTACCATACACTCTTAAGCTTTGTTCTAAAGCAAGCTATTTAACTTCCCTTGACTACACCTATTAGTAGACAGTTTGAAAAAGTTGCCTCGGTAATGCTCACATCTTCTTTCCTGTCTAGCTTATAAATACAAGGAAATTTTAGTTCTTCCCAAGGTCAGGAAAAGAAACATCTCAATAGCTTTCATTTAAGCTACTGGAAGTAAGAAATTAGCAGCTCCGAGATCTTCTTATAAGGGGAAAGTACCAAGCTGCACATGACAAATTTTAATCATTTTAATTGTCTATGGGAGCAGCCAAGGAGGTACAGATTTCCTACACATCCTTTTTCCATTTTTCAATATATTAAAAATCAGCCAAGATCCCAGAAGTATGTGCAATGCATCTATATCCCTCCAAAAACTACTTCACTAAGAAACATTGCTTCAAAATAAAATACATTATTGTCCATATTTCACTAATCATCTGAACTCAGAACGGACAATCTATGTTGACAAATATAGCCTAGTGTTTAACACAGAAAGGGAAAAAGGACACTCTAACTTTTATACTAAAAAATAATCAGAAGGAGCAAAAAAATCAGAATCTGTTTAAAAGAAGTAGTAAGAGAGCACATAAGGTAATCAGTGTGGGAGGAGGGAGGAGCAAGAGAAGGCTGGACTCCTCCGAGTTTTCTTCCACACTCAGCCGTCATCTCCACTACAATAATTAAATAATGTGTTTCATA